GTATCGGTATCGGTGAGTACCTAAACTGAAGTACTCGTACTTGTACTCAGTCTTGAAAAAAAACTGGTATCGGGACACCCCTACTCATTTTACCCGCTGTACCTTGCTTTAAACATGTCAACAACTTTATCCATGACCTGTCTGGTGTGTTCCTTTGTGTTCATGATGCTTTTTGACCYCTGATGTTGTGTAACAAACATCTGAGGTCTTCACAAAACAGATGGATTTRTACTGAGATTAAATTACACACAATTAGATGAAGTCTAAAGGCAACTGGTTCCTCTGGATTTTAGTTCAGGAAGTCAGAKTAAAGRTTGAGTACAAATACACACCACACWTTTCTGATTATTATTTGTATAAAAACTTTTTGAAAACTGTCATTTTCTTTCACTTCACACTTAYGCAATACTTTGTATCAGTCTCTATSARATCCTTTAAAATTTTTCAACAATGAAGTTTTTTTTTCTGTCTACATCCCGACATCAACCCAGTTTCTTCTAGCCRTTAAAGTCAAAGAGCCAAAATGTAGAAGCATTCAAGGGGCATTAAAACTTGTACAAGGCACTGTATTGGTTTTCAATCAGCCACAGTTATGTTGGCATTTTCTGTGTCTCAGACTCTTGGTCAGACAGAACTCCCCTCCATGAAGCAGCCTATCAGGGCCGACTCCTTCATCTCAAGTCTCTCATCGCTCAGGTACGCATACTACTACTRTAATTACTACTACTAGTAATGATAATTACACATCAAACGTAAGTAGTGCTATTTAGGACATTCAAAGACACTTTATTCATGCACACATTCACACACTGATGCCCCTTTGAGTTTTTTTTTATCAGTCATTCACAAAATAAGATGAAAACCTGACAGAGTTACTGCCCTTATGTCATCTGCAGGGCTTCCATGTGGACACACTCACCATGGACAGGGTCTCTCCTCTCCAKGAGGCTTGTCTCGGTGGACATTCTGTTTGTGCCAAGTTTCTGCTGGACAGTGGTGCAAATGTGAGAACTCTTCAGTAAAGTTTATTCACAAGTTTTAACTAATATAATCTATTATCTGAAATTGAGGTGTTGTCCATACTAAAGAAAGAAAACAGAATACTGTACAGTTTAGGTAGTCTGAATTAACCCAGTGGAGTCCTGTGTCTCATGTCCCTTTTGTAGGCAGAAGCAGTTTCAGCAGATGGCGCCACCGCTCTCTTTAACTCCTGCAGCAGTGGAAGTGCTGCATGTGTCAGACTGCTCTTACAGCGCGGTGCATCCKTCCACACCTGCCACCTCTCTTCACCCATCCACGAAGCAGCCAAAAAAGGTGTGCATGTGCTAAAAACGACTGAGCATAAAAGGCTTGATGTGTTCGTGTACACAGATTCATCAATGCTGTGTTTATATA